GGCAGTCGTCTCAACCGCCGCAGCAAGGACAACGGAGCTCGAACCTCCCTCAAGCTCCCCAGCAGATGACTTGTTGGCCGCCTCGGCCTTCTTCTTCTCGAAACGAGCTAAAGCTTTTACTAAAAGAAAATGTATGATCAATACAAACTGGTACAAATGCTATGCATATATCCCAAGACGAATAAGCGCAAATTCACGAAGCAAAACAACCAATAAACAAATCGGAACAAAGGCCGATAAACAAAGAAACGTACAAGGGTCGTTAAGCCGAGGAACACTCTTGTCGACGCAAATACCAACATGATTAAGTAAGGAACTATCTTTAGTCAACTGACGAGCGCTCCACACATGTTTATTTAACTCTCCTAATATATCCACTAATAGCGAGGAGTCGGGGCGCTTACGTTGCTTTGTCTTGCTGGTAATCCACTCATTCGAGAAGGGATATTGGCCAGGGGCAGGTCGAATGAAGAAATACTTCTTCTTCCATTCAGTAATATTGGAAGAAATATCGTCAAGGAAGGTAACGCCTACTCGACGACCCAGACAATGGGCGTCTTTGCTAAACCTATACCCATAGCAGTAAAGGAAAAACTCGGGTAGAAAATTACCTAAAACTACGCGGGTAACAACTATGAAAGCTACCATTATTCGAATGGAATTGGGGGTGAACTGATTTATTGGTATATCATAATGGTTACTTAATGACAGTAACTCAAGTTGAATCGGGAAACGCAAGCCCGACATTATTTGATCCACGAAAAAAGTAAAACAGCCCTTAGGAGGGTGACGGAAGTCGTCTTCGGGTGTGGGAGCAACCAAAGCCCAATCAGAGGGAAGGCCACTGTACTCTCTGAAGCCATTGATTTCGGCTTTAGGAGCATAAGAAAACGATATTAAGAACTTTGTCACGGAATATGCTATAGTTATAGACTCGATTAAGGGAGTCATTATCAGTAAAGGAACAAGGCTTGTCTTATATATGAGGATGACTAGAAGAACCTAGCGGAGAATACCTCGAGGAATCAAGTCGAGGCGAGAAGATTCAAGAGCTCGAAGAACTTCAGGATCCTCACAAAGTATGCCCGAAAGCAACGCCTGATTGTACATAGCCCAGTCGATACCGAAGGATGAGGCATTTGAGTTAACAAATCCCTCTGGCTCGACATTTTGATGTGAACATGGGCCGACATCAGTTAGGTGGACATAGTCCGAACCCGAATAGTCATCAATTTCACGGGCAAAAGAACCGGAGACAGGATCAGAAACAGGGTCGAGGTTGGAATCTAAAAAGAAAAGAAAAGAACGACAATCAATAGATACTGGAAGACACGACCGAGATTCGATTCAAAATGATAAGGGTCAACAAAATGACCAGAAAGGCACGAGAAGCGACTCGACAACAAGACAGGGAAAAAGAAACAGGGAAAATACTTCTCGTTTTAACTCGACTCGACAGAAGAAGGCCAAGTCGATGGCGTATCAATTCATGAGAAAAAAGAAGAGTTAAATCCCTCATGATGAGATGACTGACAAATAAAAACACTTGAAGAGATGAGAAGTCTGCGATCCAAGATCTAACAGGACAATCGCCAGAAATTCGTATAAAAATACCCAGAAAATCTGATGAACAT